AATCAGCTCAGATGGGCCTGAGGGGGCGGACTGCGGGCCTCTCCTCCTGAGTCCACAGCTGGTGACTCCGTGTTGGTGACTGCTGAGACCAGCAAACACCTGCACATTGGGGTTTCTCCTTTCCAGAGAGCCAGTTGTAAAGTGTCGGCCAGCACGTCACTGGGTGAGCCCAGCAGACTTCATCCTAGAGGTCACCGCTCATTCTGGGGGGCGGGTACTGGTGTACCCAGCGGAGTATCCTTCTGCAGTGGAAGAGAGTGGGGCCGGTGTGGGATGGAGGGACAGGATTCTGGAGACCCAGACACGCCACCAAGGCATTGGCCAGGGCTCCCTGGATGCCTTTCTCTGAAAAGAAGAGGGTGGGAAGGGAAGAAGGAGCCCCCCTAAAGGTACCTCACAGGACCGAGTCCAGGGTTTTCTGTTTGTCTGCAGTAGGCTCTCTCTCAAAAGCCAGAGGCTTTCCTTCAGTGCCTGGTGATCCTTGGCTGGAAGCGGGCCCTTTGGCCTCTGGACCAGGTCGCTGCTGCCCGATTGTCAGTGTCGGAGTTGCTGGCATGAGAAGGAGCTGGGGGTCTCTTCGTGTGCGGATTCTCCTTTAACTCCCAGTTTCTAGAGCGACCTTTCGCTCTTCTCCAGCCGCTTGGTCCAGAGCCCCAGAATAAGCGACAGCTGGGGGTGGGGGAAGGAGGCCCAGACATGTCCGTCCTGCTGCCTTGCAGAGCCGTCTGGGGACCTTTCCACCTGTCCCCCTTTTCCTGCCCCTGCCTGTCCTAACCCCAGCTTCCAGGGCACCTTCTGCACCCACGCCTGAGCCCGCAGGCTTCTGAGGCAGGCACAGGCACCGCGTCCGGACCATTGACCCGCCCTGTCAAAGTGTTTGAGTTTCGACTTTCTGCCCTGAGACAGTTACCCCTTGTTCATCTGCCTTCTGTTGTCCAGAATTTTACTAGAACCTCTTACGTGCTGTCTTCTTTCTCTTTGTCTCTGTGGGTTGGTAGGTTTAAAACCATTATTGCCTTTTTTGTTGGAATGGAGATACATTCAAGTGTTCAGCCTAGGTGTAAAGAAAAGTCAAACATCCACTCCATCATCCAACAGACCCTTGCTGAACACCCGAAGGCTGGGTCCTTAGGCTGCAGAAATGTCTGAGAACCGTCTCTGCACCCCCAAAACCTGAGAACCGGGTGGGCTGAAGTGGGGATGGGGGTGGGGGCCCAGCATTTTCCCTTCCCCAACGGACTAATGCCCTTGCCTCTCCCCTGGAGAATGGTCTCCCCCTTGAGGTTCACCTTGGTAGGGCAGCCTTCCAAGGGACTTTTTAAAGAAGCTGACCCAGGTCCCACGTGGGTGTGGGCGGGATCAGTCCTGAAGGCAAAGACCCAGTGCTTAGGGCTCTGATCTGTTTCTGTGGGGGTGGAGAGTGGGGCCAGGCAGCCTTGGAGGGGGATGGATAGGCCTGGGATGGCTGCCCCTCCCATCTCTTCCCAGCTAGGCTTCTCCCTGGAATGGCTCAGCCAAGTGGGTCTTCTCACGCGGCTCTTGGCATCCGTCCCAGGAAGGATTCCTGAAGTCATGAAGCAGCCTGGGGAAGCCCCCAGGCCTCTGTCTGATGTGCCCACCACAGCGGGTGTGCACTTGGCCCCTCCATACCTCTCTGTGTGTTCACCTTTTCCTGGAGGCCTTGGTATGGACCCCAGCCCTCCTGACCTGGCATCCGTGTCTGGGGGAAGAATGGAGAGCGGGACTGAGAGAAGCCACAGAAAGGGGAGAAGCTGGGCTCTGGGCTGGGGAAGTCGGCGGATGTCATTCCCACCCAGGGTCTGAGAGAAAGGATGGGGGCCCCACATGCAAATGTCCTGAGACCCCTGTCACTAGAATTGTCCCTGCAGATGGGCCACGGAGAAGCTGCTGGAGTCGGGGCTGGAGGGCTCCTCTACATCCTACCCCCCACCCCCACGCCGGGCTTTCCTCAGAGATTTAAAGGCTTGGGCTAAGAGCGTGATGGTGAGGGGAAAATTCTAGTGCCACCACTTGGAATTTCTGTGAACCTCAGAATGATTTTTCTGTCCCCAGTTCCTCTTGGGTCATGTGGAAATAATCCCACCCCACAGGGCCATTGTAAGCCTCTTCCTCGAGCTTAGTTCAGTGCCCTGAACACAGGAGACACTGGATGGAGGCTCCGTCCTGCTCCAGCCTTCTTGAATTCTTCCTTTAATCAAGCACGCGTGCGTTCACAACATTTACTGTGCTCAGGCCCCTGTCGGTCAGGCGTTACCCTTAGAAAGATAACTTTCTGAGTTTCTGAGTCAGAGTGTTTAAGGAGGGGAGTGTTTGCAGAGAAGGGGGCATCGCTGAAGGACAGGTGACACGCCCAGAGAGTGGCCACAGAGGGCAGCCCATCTTGCTTCCAAGCCTGAGTGGTAAAGGGAGGTGGCTTTGCCACAGGAGCCCAGGGAGAATGTTCCTAGGAGCTGTGGTTGAAGATAGAGAAACCAGTCAAACCACCACTCTCCTACTACCAGCCGGTCTCCTTCCACAGCTTCCCAGGCATGAACCGCCGGGAGCCAGAGGGCAGGGGAGCCCGAGTGAATGAGTCTGCAGGGGTCAGCCTCCGGGAGCTCAGAGCACACAGAGAAAGCTGAAGAATGAGTGGGGAGGGGGCCAACGGGACAACCAGCAACACGACCATGTGGAATTCAGGTACTAGGTCCGGAGCAGTGGCCTCTGCCCCAAGTTCCTGAGGACAGGCTGACAATACATAGCTGCTTATAATCCAAGAAATAAATGAACATTATATATGTTATAGAAGTGTGGACATTGTCATAGATGTGAAGGTGACCCCCATGACTTCCATCTCCTGCTCTTTCTGCCTTGCCACAGTCGTCCTGCTTTGGCAGGGGGGAGACCCATGACTCGCAGCTCACCCACAGAATGTGCCAAAGGTAATGGGATGGCATCGCCTTGAGTAGCTACCCTACGTAAGCTTCCCCTGTAGCAGATTGGAGAGAGAGTGTCCTTGCTGCTTTATGAAATAAGGAGCCACAATGGGGAGCCCATGGAACAAGGAACTTTGGACAGCTTCTAGAAATCGCAGGCAGCCTCTAGGACCTGAGAGTGGCCTCCAGACAATATCTAGCACGAAGCCGGAGCCCTCAGTCCGAGAGCCAGGAAATGAATTCTCCCAAGCACATGAATGAGGGGGAAGTGGATTCTTCCCCAGTCAAGCCTCCAGACGCAGACACAGCCCAGATGACACCTTGATCCCAGCCCTTCGAGACACGGGACAGAGGACCCAAGGAAACTATGTCCGGACTCCTGGCCCCCAGCAACCGTGGGATAATGTGTAGAGTTAGCAGCCACTGACTTTGTGGTAATGTTGAAGCAGCGTAGAAAGCTAACATAACACATAAGCAAAGAGTGGGCTGAGGTGAGAAAAACAAATTCCGCGGAGATTCACAGAGGAGGGTGTGTTTGTGCTCACACAGGAAGGGTGGGGGGACGATGTGAATAGGGAGTGGTGGAAAGATGATTGTCCCCTCATTCCTGAGCCCTTCACCCCAAACCCCGAAGCTGAGAGGACTCCAAGGACAAGGATGCCAGCCTGGGCCCCCAGAGTTCACTGGAGGAGTGTCCCCCCACCAACCCCGGCCTAGGGCGCCCTGTGTTCATCACTTTGGGCAGAGGAGAGGCAAAGCAGTCCTATTCAGTTTCTTTTTCTAAAACAGCTCTCATCTCTTCTTATGAGTAATATGAGTTCGTTATAAACCACTTAAAAATATGGATAATTTTTATTTATTATTTATTTTTTAAAAATATTTTATTTATTTGACAGAGAGAGGCACAGGGCAGAGGCAGAGGGAGAGGAAGAAGCAGGCTCCCCGTTGGGCAGGGAGCCCGATACAGGGCTCAGTCCTAGGACCCTGGGATCATGACCTAAGTGGAAGGCAGAGGCTTAACGACTGAGCCACCCAGGTGCCCCAGATAATTTTTAAAAAGCAAAGATTAAAATTTCACTGGTGATGTCATGACTCAGGTTTGTGCCTTGTTAACGAGTTGGCTGCTTCCTTCTAGTTCCAGATATCATGAACACGACAGTGTTGTGTGACAGGGACAACCCTCATCCTGGACAGGCCCTATTCTTGGCCTGGGACATTTCTGGGATGAGTAGTAGCAGCTCACCATGCACCTGTGTGCTGGCGCCCTCACACACACACACACACACACACACACACACATCCCTCAGGCCACTAGGCACACAGTCAATGTTCCCCATCCCCATGCCCTGGGAGGGGAAAGTATCAAGTGTGGATCAAATGGAAGGTTAAATTCAAGCCTCCGGGGATGAGTCTCTGGGAATGTAAGAGTGTGGTCAGAAGAGGACCAGTGAGTGTGTGTGTGTGTATATACAAGGCCATGTCTACTTATACAGTGTTATGTTGGAGGAGGCTCCCCCTGGCTGCTCAGGACTCATCTTGGAAGCCCACAAACTCTGCATCACTCAGGTGTTCTTGTATATTAACTATCCATGATGTGACCGGAAGCCCTTAATTGTGCTGCCCAAGTGCAGTGCACAGCCTGGATAACTGTACATAGCAGTCCTGTCAGGAGCCCACAGTTGGCCCAGCTGTGGAAAAGGAACCAGCTCTATCTCACGTGTACCTCAATTCCATGTCTGAGGGCAGGAACCAAAAACATTGAGAACCCACTCAAAGCAGGAGAGGAGAATGGAGGTAATGGGATCAGAATAGCCACTGGATGGCCACCCATTCTGCCCTGGTAAGAAGGGATAAGGAGATTGCAAAATGGGTAAGAACATCCTCTCACCTATCAGCTCAAGGCCGTAATCCTGGGCCTCTGCTTCCCTAAGCTCTGTTCTATTTTCACTCCTCTTTTCTACCCTATTGGCTGCGAGGGTTTAGTGGGGACTTAAGGCCAGTTCTCAGGCATCTTCTGGATTTGGTCGTGGGACTGCACAGCCCCCCGTTACCTTTGTCCCTCTGCTCACCTCCTCCTGACATTTTCCTGCACTGTCTGATTCATCAGACCCTCTTTGCTCAGCTCGGGAGGCCTCCGGCCTCTGATCAAGGAGGGCCCAGGGTTAGAGAGCCCAGCCGCCCTGTTGCAGTGATCTCGGGGAACAGGATCCAGCCACCTGGGGCACAGACCCCCCACAGGCCTGGGAGATGGGCAATGTAATGGATGGGAAGTCCGTGGAGGAGCTGAGCAGCACCGAGTGCCACCAGTGGTACAAGAAGTTCATGACTGAGTGCCCCTCCGGCCAGCTTACCCTCTACGAGTTCCGCCAGTTCTTCGGTCTCAAGAACCTGAGCCCGTCGGCCAGCCAGTATGTGGAGCAGATGTTTGAGACCTTTGACTTCAACAAAGTGAGCGGAGGCCTGGGTGGGGGGCGCTGGAGGCCCGGCCAGTGCGGGGCTGAGGTGGGGGGTGCAGGGGCCAGAACATGGCGTCTGCTGGAGGAGGGGGCAGGCCTGTTGGTGTATATGGGGTCCTGTTAGGGGGTCAACGGATCTCACGTTCATTGAGCACCTACTGTGAGTCAGGCACTGGGGGTTCAGAAAGGAACCAGACCCCGTCTGCACCCTCACCTTCCAGGCAAGAACAGAGGGGTCCACAGGTTAGGGTGTCAGGAGGCCCAATCTAATGACTTCCTCTGCCTCGTCCACACACATGTCTCGGTTTACTCCAAAACGGGTGTGAACACTTACAAGACAGTGGTCGAGCACTTACTAAGTGCTGGGGGCCATACCTGGCGCTTTTGCCCAGACCCTTAGAGGTTCCAAGAGGAAGGGGAGCAGAGAGGAGAGAGCAGGGTGATAAGCCTCCGGCCCCCGCTGGCCTGGCACAGGCAGGCCCATGTTACATGAGCCGTCCCTGATGCTCTGGGGACAGACCAGGCTGCATGGCCACCGGGACATCCAGGCTACGCCCGTCTCCAAAGTGCCCAGTGACCTCAGCTCACCTTCTCTTGAGTGGGTCTGAAGGTCTGCACGGTAGTCAAATGGTATTGTCCCTGAGTCATCAGCGGGACATGGGATGAGGACTTCCTGTCAGCTAGAGGGGGGCATCCAGGGGGGCTGGGCACAGTGAGTTAGGGCCCTTGGTTTTCATCAGCTGGGTGGCCGTGCACCCAGCCCCTCTCCCACGCATCCTTAGCTCAATACCCTCATCTTTCTCGGATGTTGAGAGCATGAGTTAAGATGCTTGTTAGTTTCCAGAGCAAATCTTTCATTGGTTTGGAGCAATTCAGTCAAGATGTCGTGGTAGAAGGACCCCTGGTCTCCCCACCCCGTTGGGCCCCACCCAGGATGTGCCGAAGCTCTCCCACGTGTCCTCTTCAAGCTGGGGACACGCTGCCCAGAGCTTTCTCGGCCCCCCACCGCCCAGAGGGTTCAAATACCATTGTGGGCAGGGCTTCTAAGGACAGCTAGGGCTCAGAGGCTATTTAAAACTCACTAATATTTAAGGTCAAGGGGCCAAAGCAGATTATGGGTGTTGAGTCCCAAGCTCAAGGGCAGCATCCTGGAGCCCATAGGCTTTCCTGGAGGGGTTGCTGGGAGCAGAGTTCTGCAGCCCATGGCATGAGCCCAGAAGGGATGGCCTCAGCTTGCTGGGCCCCCCAAGTGCTCCCCACAAGAAGGAGTAATTCCTGAACAGGAGGGAGGAAAGTAATGGTTGAGCCTCAACGCCTTACACTCAAACACACAGGAGTATCTCAGCTTCTCACCTGCTAAGGAAACCCTTGGGAACAAGACATATCTCCAGGAGGACCCCCTAAAATCACATGGATGACACTAGGGAGGGACAACCCTCCAACCCTGTATTTGCAAGCATCGCCCCCTCTGTCCCAGACCTGACTTTCTTTTTTTTTTTTTTTAAAGATTTTATTTATTTATT